TTATTTTTTATCACTTGTTACTTGATGTTACCTCAAGATGGATTCAAGTAAATCTGAAACCAGGGGATTTTGCTTAATAAAATGTGAATGCGGAATACTCTGATTTAAGATTTTGGTGATGACAAGTTTGTAACCGCTGGAATGTCTGTCTTCTTTACACTTCCACGATCGAGCCATTTCTGGTTCCCTTCTTTTCATGAAGTTAATGGTGGGACATTATCATTATCATTTCCTTGTTGTCAGGCAGGAATGACTTATTTGTTAAAGGCTGGGTAAACAGCTGCTATGTGGCAAGCATAGTATGTAGTTTTTATGTCCTTCCCCCATAGTGATGCTCATTTAACTCGTCCGTTTCTCGTTGTTTAAGGGTTTCCTTGGATTCATAACATGTTTTTATTCCTCAGGCAGCATACATATGTAAGCATAGCTCTCACTGAAAATGAAGAAATAACACGAAGGAGAAGGAAAGAAAATGAAAATGAGGTCAGGTTATCCAAAACCGGTGTTTCGTTCGCCTAGCTGCTCTTTTTCGTGGTCGGCTAGACACCTGTTCTATCGGAAAGACAGACCGTAGAGATGCTTCGAGCGACGTCCGGACTCTCTCTGGACGTGTTTGTCTATCGATGCTGGTAATGATCGGTACTACGGGAGGTGTTTACGCAGCGATTGAACGGGGTCGGCAAAGGTTACTTATTCTAAGGAAGCATACTTGCATGAACTTCATTTGGATGAAACTACGAAACAGTTGGCAGAGAAAGAGTCAAAGTGACGATGCTTACGAATGTCAGCACAACCGTGAGAAAGTTACTTAGCCATAGACCTACTTTTCTTGACCTGTTTTCTGAATTCGCTTTATGGCCTTTGCCCACGTGATTTGTGTTTAAAATTTAACCAAAGCAATTAGTTTAATTAATGTCAGTAAGGTCCCTCCAGGTTCATTTTTATTCAATGGTTAATATAGGATGTAGGTTAAAATTTTAGGACCAAGAAGACGTCTTTTTGTTGCTGTCTCCCGAGAACATCAGTCAGGAAAAGCTGCAGGCGTATGCCCGTGAAGCGGCAGACTTTGCCACCGAGTACTCCCTTCCGTACCTCGAGTTCGCTCTCAACTACGACGGACAGCCGGATGTCGCCGTATTCGACTTTACTTCGTTGTTTAGTGCCGAAAGTGCATGCCGGCTGTTTCAACGCCAGAATCGCAGATTGTTGGTGGCGATTGTCGGCGATAGT